ATCATCATCTCTCTCTCTCTCCCTCTCTCTTACACATTTACTTACTTCTCATCATCATCATAACCATTATTCATCTTCACCAACTAAGTTATCGTAATAAAACTTGAACATTGACTTGGAGCTTAATTTAACTCGTAACGAAATCGTAACATTTTTTGGCGAGAAAAAAAAGTTTTTGTTTCGATTTAAATTTATCGTTTCTTTAACCTTTTTTTTCGTGTTTTATTTTGTTTTTTCTTGTTAATTGTGATTAAGTTAATTGTTATAGTGAAGAAAACAAGCAAACAATCATGTTCCACACTGTGAATACCCGTTTACTTGGAGTAATTGTTTCCCTTTCATTGTCATTAATTACACTTGCTGGTTTCTTAATTTATCTGTTGATTGTTAATCGATCAACTTTACCCAATATAAATTCAACTAATTCAATCACCAATGGAAACAAATTAATTGGATATAACAACAATGAACTTTATGGTGAAACAATACCATCATCATCTTCATCTTCATCACCAACAACTTATCCTTATCACTCTTATCACCATCAACATTATCCACATCATCATCATCATTCAAGTTCATCACCATCATCATCTTCAAGTGTAACCAACTTTTTATCCTCTTCACCAACTTCACCTCTTTATGATGAAACTGACCTAAGGTCAGTTTCCCCTGTATGCTCATCCATGTGTCCAGAAAAAACGTACAAAGATTATCTTTGTGATGTTAAATTTGTGATGCTTGTCAACATAACCAAACTCTTGGAAACCTATGAGACAACCAACGGAACGATAACTCGAGTCTATTCAATTTCGATAAAAAAAACTTATAAAAAGTCACTTTTATTCATAATCGCCTTTAGAACCCAAAGGATAACGGTCACTTCAACCAAAGGATGTCCATCAAGTCAAGAGCCTCTTTCACCAGGTCACCTTTACTTTGTAACGGGAAGAGTTAAAGGTTTAACAGCGCTGGTTGACCAGTGTGATTTAACAATTGACTGGACAACGGTCAATGAATCAATCAAAGAAGAGATCAGATCATTTTTCAGCTCAGTCATCGGTTCTTGCAGTAATTATCCTAATCCATAGAGGGCTAATCTTTATCAAAGCTCATCATTTATCCCATGTAAATATCTAATACTACAAATCCGCAAGTAAAAATCAAAACAAGATTCAAAACTATTGAACTGATACCAACAGAATCATGGAGTTTCAAAATTCAGTTTCCAGCACATTGGCACAATTTAAGAGAAAAAGAAAAACTTTTTTTTTCATTATCAACAATTCATTATCATGATGGATTCAAGTTTCAGCTCATTCCCATTCATGGATCTGTTTTATATCATCTTATCATCCACTTGAATATCATCATTACCATGATAAGCCAAATAATAATAATATCATGTTATATTTGAATAACAACTAATCATTGACCTGTTGTTGATGTTGTTGTTGATATTACCTGTTACTTTATACATTAAACACTAAAAGTTAACCAACCAGATCTTTGCTGATGATCATCATGATGATTATGATGATTGAAAGATGATCAATGAGAAGATAAAGAGAGAGAGAGAAAGAGAAAGAGGGAGAGAGAGAGATGTTAAAAAAAGTATATATTCTTTCAATGGTCTGATTGTGATCTGTGAGAAAATGTGATGAATAGGAATGATGAGAAGACGATAAAAAAAATGGAAGAGAAAAAAATAGAATTGGAAGAAAATTTTTCGATTGACAAACAAGGTACTTTTTTCATCATCATCATCATCATCATCATCAACTGATTGTGTGTCTAAACATCAACAAAATGATACTGAATATCACATAATGTATATATAAAAAAAGGCGAACAGAAAAGTAAATCATCAACAATCAATAAATAGTAATTCTGATTGTCAGGTAAATATAAGTTAAAGTTTAAGAAAACAAAATTGATTCTGATTGTATAATAGAAATCAGATCAATCGTTTTTATCATCATGGTGATTAAATTTCCAGAATTGAAGTTTGCCCTTTGCAACACAATCAACATCATCAATTGGGACAATTAAGGACATGAAATTTATAATCACAATGAAAAGAAAGACTTATCATCGTCATCATCATCATCATCATCATCATTATCTTCATTGGATGATATTTCATGGAGAATACAATGGAAAATAAAAGTTCTGCTAACAATTACCATGGAACTTTTTTTTCTCGTTTTTTTCGTCCAAAGTGAATTCATCACGTACAATTCAATGAAAATTGAAACTATTTCACAATCAAAGTTAATCATCATCAAAGAATCATCATCATCATTTATCATCTAACTAATTATTTTCTCTCATCATCATCATCACCATGTAATAGATTGATAATAATGTTTGATTGTTTCATTGTCTTTAAATATAATAATAAGTAATTCCTATTGTCAGGTAAACATAACAACAACAATAACTAAATCAATTATCATTACCAATTAAATTTAATCACGCCAATCAATCAAGTAAACAACAATTGACCAATCAAAATGGACTGACCTTCACCAATATCATCAACTAGCCCCCACCTTGACCATTAAATTTCCCAATTTACACAATGGAGAAGAAGAAAAAAAAAATTAAATTCCAAATTATTGACCAATAATCAATTGATTTGTGAGAGAAAAAAAAATTATTATTATTATTATTTAAATTGTTTCCTAATCGTTTACCTGGTTCGTTAAATTAATTGTTAATTGACAATTTAATTAATCAAATGAAACAAATAAATAAAAGTTTTGAATAAATTATTGACCATTAAAAACTAATAATAAACAATCAACAGAAACAATTACCATTAACCAATGCAATTAATTTTTTCTACATTTAAATAATGATGATAATCATTTTACAATCTTAATCACTATCAACTTTTTAATTCTGTTTAATCTTTAATCATAATGATTAAGAAATAATTGAAGAAAAAAAAAATGGTTAATCCTTGAAAAAGATACAAAAACAAACACACAAGATTAGGATTAGGATTATAAATATTAGACCCATAAGTGATAAATGATGAGTATGATCATCAATTTAATTTGTAATATAACTAAATTAATAAATTATCATGCTAATCATGGTTGATAAAGTTAATCATGTTGACTGATTAACGGTTTAAATACAAGGTTAATAATGATGGCTGATTGTTTAAGGTTTTCTCAATATCATCATCACAATTAAGTGAACCCATTCAACAACAAACAGATGAGATTGATTGTAATCAATGAATGAATTTACTTCTTGTAGTATTAATAAACCACCAACAATTTAATCAATGAAATTTTTTAATTCAATGACAATTAAACGGTAAAAAAAAACAAATTAAACCACCATAATAACTAATCATCTTGGTTAATCAATTGATTATAATCACAACGATGAGAGATATTGAAATATCAAATTTATCCTCTTCCTGGTTGAGTAAAAAATTGATACTCTTGAAATGATGTTATGTCAAAACCAACAATTTAACCTAATTAGTTAATTAATCATCTTGTTTTGGTTTTCATTCAGTTTTTTTTCAGTTTATTAATTAACTTTTAACATTAACCGCTTTGTATTATTATTATGTATTTAAAAGTAGTTGATTGTTGATCATTTGTTTTTGATTGTTACTGTTGATAAATTATCAATTATCAAATGAACATATAACAAGTAAGGCTTTTGATTACAAAATTAATCTAACAATTAACTTTTAATTCAGTTGTGATTAATGAAAGTTAAACTTGTAATAATTTTCTGGTTTCTTGCTGATTTTCAATATTTTTATTTTTACTTTGTTGTTGTTTTCCTATTTTATTATATTCATGATTTGGATAAATTATGATTCAGTTGACCTTCATTTCTGGCATATCATCATCATGTACCTGATGATGATGAAGACACAAGCATCATCATCATCATCATCATCATCATCATCATGAGAAAGTCATTAATAGTTGAACACAACAACAATGTGAATATTACCTGTGAAAAAGAGAGGAACCGTTTTTTTGGGTTTCATCATATTCGAGGTTATAATGGATTTTGTGGGAGAAAAAGAAAGAGAAAGAGAAAGAGGAAAAAGAAGATGATGATGATGGTGATGATGATAATCTTCATCAAGTTCACTTTCATTTAGTATATTAGATGGCTTGACCATTCACGCTCTCGCTCTCTCACCGATGGTCATTTGTAAACTTTCCTTCTCTTGATGGGAACCAAAAGTGATCTCGTTTTTTAATTGAATCCATTTTGAGATATTGTGTTTGTCTAATTGTCAACTCTTATAATTAAAAGACTTTTTCTTTCTCGTCATCTAAATTATTTGACCAATTGACCGTTAAAGTTTTCACCTTGACCATTTCAATGAAAAAGAGAGAGCGAGTTTCATTCATTTACTTTTTATGATCTTGATCAAGTTGCTTTCTCTTAATTAGTTGTCACCAATTTCAATGGTTCAGCTTCATGGTACATCATGTATCATATTTCAATTGAATGAACCAGAGCCAATTCATCATAACAGTAATAATGGTCACTTCATCTTGACCAGTTTATAGTTTGTATCAATATGTATCAGTTACCATTGAAATTATCTACTCATGTAAACATTGAATCTTATCTTGAATTGGAAAGGGAAAAAAGTTCAACTTAAATTTCACACTCTGAGAAAAGTGATTACGATTTTGTGACCTGATAGATTTGCTGAATAATCTCAACTCTCGAACTGAGAATAAGTTATAACTATACTCGATTTGCACATTAATTAGTAGATTCAATTAATTGGGGGTTAAATGAGTAAATTTTATGTTTTCATCATGTTGATTAACCTGAATGATTATCATGAAGAGAAAAATAATTTCCTATTTGAACGCAAACTCGACAAAAAAAATTATCGATTTTCTCTCTAAAAGAGAGAGAGAGAGAGATTTTCTTTGAAATCGAATATACAATAAGCAGAAAATTCTGAGCATGGTAAAAACCTCGAACCTCAGTGAGAGTTCAATGTTCACAATGAATTGGAATGAAATTTCTGTTGAACATTTTCTCGTTTTCCACCAAACTATTCATTTGATGTTCAATCATTTTCTAGTGTAAACAATTTCATCCTTCTCAGTTTTTAAATTGCCAACTAATTGTTGCTCAAAAATGTTGCCAATCAACAACTAATCAACTTGATTGTTGTCATCTATCAACAATTAAAATAGATAATCTTTGATAACATACAAACACACACCAAGAATTTTAATCAGTTCAATTGTTTGTATTTAATTTTGTGTAACATTAACAACAAATATCTAGTTAACCATATCAGTTAATTGTTTAGATTGTTTTTTTTTGTGGTTTAGTTGATTGTTGAAATTTTATTTTGTTTTGTTGTTCATTGAGGAAAGAAAAACTAAAACATTCGGATTAACTGGTGCAAATAACGGATAATAATCGATAGTTTTAATAATAATCGTTTGATTATTAACCAAATCAACAGAATCATGTTGTTTGACACTCGATTTGAACCTTTCGATGATTACGAACCTGAAAGTCCACCATCATCTTTTCATCGTAATCAGATTCCAGTCCGCCGAGTTAAATCAGCTCGTAATTACACCCACCGTCGACGTGAACGTTACTCCCTTCGAGTACCTAAAACCGTTTATACAACTCGAGATTACACTTATCCAAGATCATTGGAATCTATTGACGATTGGTCACTTTACCGTCTTAATCCACCTTCATCACCTTTACCTGGACCCTCGTCATCATTAAACGTTTCCTCCATCAGTCCTGGTGGATCGACAACCACCACACCCGGTTCAATGTGTGGTGAACCAAGAGGTGCCCGTCGAGTACAATCATTCAGATGCACCTCAAAGGGTGGGGTGGTCAAGATGGGTGATTTTTTCCTAGGTAATGCATCACCTGATAATTATGTTGCCAAAGAAGAGGTTCCATCACATTATCATCATTACCACCATGGTGGAGGAGGAAATGGTGGAAGCAGTGGTATTACATCATCTTCTCATCATCTATCTGGTCAAGAGTCATTTTCATCATCTGCCTCTCATCATCATGGTGGAAGTGGAAGTCACTATCATCATCAACCATTGCATGTTTCACTTTCTGCATCTTCAGCTACTCAGGGTGGAATTTCATCAAGAGAAACTTCCGATGGAAGGTCAGGAGGATCAATGGGTGGGGGAATGATGGGTGGTAGTGTTATCGGCGGTGAAAGAGGAATAGGTTCCAACTGTGGTAATAATAATAATAATGGTTATCTACCCAGAGGATCACCAACTTGTTCAAGGAAATCTTCAAACTCTTGTGATTCATTACGATCCTCGAAAACTTTTCATGTTTTCGTAGCGGGTTTCAAGTCGGTGGGTAAACATCGTGTCATGAGTGCCTGTTTAGGTAATTCGGTTAATGAAAGGTTAAAAGCAACCATACTTATCGATTATGAGCAATTTAACATTAATTTTAATCTTATTGATAAATTTGATGATTCAGAGGAATTGGGTGAAGATTCATTTCCACCCTCATCAGTTCAGGTAAGATAAACATTGATAATCACACCATGAACATTATACACACAGAAAAGCCATGTATTATGATAATAATAATGATGATGAAATTTACAACATGTACTAATTAACTTAATCATAACACACATACATATATGTGCATAGTCACACCATGTAATTATCTCATGAAATCATAATTCTAGATCATGATAATAACAACCAACTTTTTCTAGCCAAAGATTCAACTGTTAATATTTTCTCATGAAAAATGAATTTCTTTCTTGCTTTTTTCATATTCTATAACCTCTTCAATATTGAGATTAATCATTCAACTGATTCTAAATTGACATTCATGATGATGAATATGATGAGGATCATTTTAGCATAAGCTCTCTCTCTCTCTCTCTCTCTCTCTCTCTTTGTCTCTGTTCATGAAGATGATTAATTTAGATTTGAAATGAAAAAAAGGATAATATCAAAAGTAAGTTACTCATTAATTTTCTGCTCTTCCAATTTGAGTCTTAACTTTTAATTAGCTGATAAACAATCAGAGATTACCTGATATTCACAATTAACAAAGGATTAGCATCTTCAATTTATCTTCATCATCATCATTAACTTTCCATCATCATGTTTACCATGGAAATACATGGTAACCGATAAATGTTTATTTTCGAGTTCAATTAATTTTCTTTATCTTCTTGTGTTTTTTGTTCTCTTTCTCATTCTTCTTCTTTTTCATTCTAAAATCATAATATAAAGAGATGGTAGAAGAAAAGTTCTAATACTGTTCTTATACACACAAATTCGATGAAAAGTTGGGTTGTTTTTGTTTTTCTTTTCATCAGAACTTTTTTTCTTCTTCTTCTCGTTGTCTTGCTCTTGATACATTCACAACCTAAAGTAAACTTCGAGGTAAAGTCACAAGTCGTTTATATCAATGTCATGATTATATAAGCCAGGTAACGATATTAATAGTAATGTAATTATGGATAAATGTTCATCATGAACATCATCATGTAATCAGGCTAATAAACACTTACCATCAATGTGTAGACAAAAAAACATTCTGACACAATTTGAGAAGGTTTTTTTTTATCTCCATTGGATAAAAAATATCAACATGTATTATTAATCATTCTTATTATGTATCAATCTTCATTATTAAAATTTCATCATTCACTTGAACAATTATCATAACGATTATGATAAAATAATTTAGTTACCATGTGCAGTTCAATTGATATTTAAATCCATCAATGAGTTTCAGTGTTTAAGTGATGATACGATTTAGTTTGAAATTATTGACAAACTTATGAAAGAAACTCTCTTTCTCTTTTCATGAAAAATAAATTCTGTCATCATGATTCAACTCTGATTGACATGATAATGCAATAAGAATGCTGATAAATGATGATAATAATAAATAAACAACAATGATCAATGATAATCATATTGAACAATCAGTTAGTATGTCAAGATTGTTAAAGGTGGGAAACAGCAAGTGATGGATCAAATATCAATCAATGGAGGATAAATATTGTTACCAAAGTAACTGTGATCACCTTTTCCTTTGATAATAAAAATGAAATGCTGTTGATTGAGAATCGAATAGCTGAGAGAGAGAGAGAGAGAGAGAGAGAGAGAGAGAGAGAGAGAGAGAGATACTGACCGATGGTCAATATGAATCTAGTTTTCCATTATGTAAAGGAAACATTTCAAGTCCTGAAAAATAACATTGAATTTATCATCATCATCATGAATAAACGTAAGGTAAATACATAAAATGAATGGATGATTGAAAAAAAAGGAAGAAAATTATTCTTTTTTTTCATAGCTCGAAAGTAACGATTTTGACTAAACAAATTGATTCAATTCACAAGGGAAGATGAGGAAGATGATGAAGATGATTGCGATTCTTTTAAAGTAAAAGTTATAAAGGATTCCAAGGGTCAGTTTTTTTTGGAATTGCTTGGAAACAATAACAATAACTTTTGTCCACCTTGGAATAACAATTTGCTTGAGATAAATGAACCAATTGAATTGATCGTTAGAACTTATTTTTTACTTCTTTTCCTCTCTCCGAATTCTGATTTATGAGAATCGTAATTCTGATATGTATGTGCATCTATTTTTGGTTCCAATTAACATTCAGTATTATTTTCGTTAAGATGATTAACTGTATTAATGTTTATACTCTAATGGCCTATGAACTCATGTTAGAACTATTTTTTTCTTCTCACTCCAGCTTTCTCTCTCACCGCCTCATTACGACTAACTCAGAGGATCTCATGATTCTCATGATTGGGTAACTGAACCTTTTAGATAGCCTGCAAGCGATGACAAAAAAATCATTGATTGAGCTTCTTGGTTCATATAAAGATGATGGATAAGAATAAAAAAAAATCTCATTGATTCGATGAAACTTTTTTTCTCGACAGAAAATCTCAGTCGTAATACTTTTGCTCTTTTATTCCAAGTGATATATTAACGAATTGCTAGAATTCAAATCAACAACTTTTCCCTTCGTGGTTAATATAAATATTTTCGTTCTTTACCTTTTATATTTATCATGAACTTCACTTTTACAGTGTAAAGTATAAGATTCACAGTCCGTTTTTCTCACCTTTTTATTACTATCCCTTGGCCACGAACAAACTGAGCATTTATCATGGAAGAAAGAAATTACCTGGGAATCTAAAGTTTACATGTTTCACACCTTCTTCATTTACTGTATCTATTTCTCTCTCTCTCTCCATTCACATAGATAAGATTATTTTTCATTCCAAATCAGACTCAGAATCTATGAAATGCTAGAAGAAAATTCAATCAGCATTCTCCTAATGGTAGAATTACATTTCGAATTTCTCATCATCACATAGTTACTATCATCTTAAGGTTCACTTTCAATCCCTTGATAATCCTTTTCGAATCGAGGGGGAAAAAATGGTACAGGTAAAGTTGAAAATCTCTTGCTGGAAGATGCTCTCGACATTTCGAGTAATATGTTTAAAGATCTATTACATTAGTTGCTCGAAGGCAAATATATAAATATCATCATGATAACAATATCCATATGATGAGGATAAAAATTCTGAATGATAACAGAAAAAGAGAGAAACAAGTTGAGAACAAGAGATTATCATGTATTCAGAGCTTTTGTTTTACCAAGTGAAATGTTCAATTTCTATGCACAAAAAAAAAAGAGGAACAGAAATAACAATTCCAATCTAACTTAATCTTGTAAAAAAAACTTTCGAAAAAAACAAATAACCGAGAACAATAATATTACTTTATTTTCCAACATTTTCCTCAGAAACTAATCAATATTCACCTTTGCATATAACTCATAATATTGGGTGGAGGAAGAGAGAAAGAGATTCAAGTCGAGCATTTATCAGTAACTGAATTCTGATTCTATTTCATGATGGTGATGATTATTCAGATTAGGGGAAAAATCTAAATAAGAACTATTTTCCCCCCTATTCCAAGGTGAATGTTAATCTGAATACCAAATAGCGTATATACAATTTAATATATTAGTGAATAATTTGATGAGAGAGAGAGAGAAAAAGGGAAAACAATTAGTTTGTATTCACAACTAATTAGTTTAGGGTAAACCTTATGATTGTTATAACAATTAGTTGATGAAAACATTTACAAATGAATACCATTGATTCATTTGAATTAAACAACCGATAGGATTAGCTAAATGTTTATAACAAACAATCAGCAGGGTGACATTAACAATCATTTTGATTATTTGAATATGTTACTTGTAGCTGAATGAATATCCAGATAAAATTTACCTTGACGATTACATGATGATAATAATTGACAAGAGTTTTGATAATGTCAAGTAATAATTAATATTTACTCAACGTTAGAAAAGTTAATCTGTTAATCTTATGATTACTATTTAAAAGATAATCGTTAATCTGATTATGCTTTTTAGTTTCAAAGATTACAGATTAATCAGTTGACAGAATAAAAGTTTTACTATTCTGAGGTGATTTGATCAATATCATTATCGACAGATTAAATAATCTCATCTAATCACAGTTTAGTTATATATTTATCAGAATCAATTATTATCATTATTCAAAATAAATCATAATTATTTTTTTCTCCTTCCCATCATCATGATAATGAAATTGTGTTAACTGGATATTCACATTTTGATATAATATTATAATCATGAAACTCTTAGAGACACAAAGGATATTCACATATTTGTATCATGCTGTTCATCTGATTATCATGAATGAATACTCTGAATAATGATAATGTTGATGATGATAAAATGATTATAATCTCATGAGATTCAAGGTGCCGTTAATAATAAATAAAATCCAGTCCTTGGATGGTTCTGGATGATGATGGTGATACTGGTGATATTCACCATGAAAGTAATACTGGTAAATGCTGGTGCATGATAATAAATACCTTGAATGATGATACTACGAAAATTTCAACGTTCTAACATTGAAAACAATTACATTTGATTCTGTGAAAATGTTGATAAGTTAACCAACCATTTGATACATTTAATACTTTCTACTCTGTTGAGGGTATTCATAAGTCACGTGAAAATTAATCATTGGTAACTGATTTGATTTCATGATACTCAGAGTTTCCAGATATTCTGATGATTTTGCGAAAAAATTTCCACCACCATCATAATAATAATATGATGTTACCATGGTATTGGTATTCACAATGATCAAGTATTTTCCTGTTATCGTTGAAATTTTTAGTTTGATGGTTAATTAGTTTCATGGGGAATAATGTAAATAATTAATTAATCTCAAATTGTTACAGTTATTATCATAATCTGAATGCTGAATTTAGACTTATATTAATCATTTGGTGGACTCAATGGGGATATTGTATTAGATTAGGTTGAAATTGGGAGGCAAGAATTATAATTGAGTTAATCAGAGAGATTATTGTTATTATTTTCAGGGGAAAATGTAATATAAATAACAATAACTATGGTTCTTCTGAGTAATATTAATAAATGAATA